GGTAAGATCAAACAAAGCCACACGGAGTTAGTTTTTCTCTTTCTATTGCTCTTGTTTTTCTGTCTTTCTCTTATTTTGTCTTCGCTTGTACTTTTTTACTTTGCATTTTGTGAAACACAAAGAAAAACATCTAAGATGTGAGCGAATTTGAAAGTTATTGATTTATTTTTATTTTCTGCGCTCAGGCTGACGTAAGTAACCGGAAGTGAAATTTCACCTCCTTAGCAACGCGCGGGAGCGCGCGCATAAATCGGTTAATGGGCCCTTAATGGCTTATTTGCAACTTGCATGTCGTACCTACGAAGAATTCTTGTTAGCTAGTGGTTGCGTGACACCATTGATGAAGGGAAGGAGAACAGAACTGTTAGGATTCTCTTGAGGCGCAGCCCATTTAAAAAACATGCAAACCAATTCTTCAGGTGTGGGGATGGCGTGCGTCGGTGGTTTGGAAAATTTCCCCTTTAAGGTGTTGGAGGTAACATAGGAGGGATAGTTATTGGCTCGTAGAGCATCAGTGACATGGTTGATTTCAGTATTTTTCCCTTGCCATGTACTAGGGAGTTTAATTGCGCGGTGTAATAGGGTCTCAGCTGTGCTAATCTTGTGGCGTTTGTCATGGTGAGAAGATCGTGAAGTAATTGTGTTATCCTTGTGGGAAACCAAAGTATCTAAGAAAGCGATCTGTTGGTCAGATTCCTTCTCAATAGTGAATGAGATGTGTGCATCGATGGAATTAAGTGTAGTATGAAAGGAGTTGACAGCATTCCTTTTAATGATACAAAAGCTATCATCCACATAGCATTTCCATACTTAAGGTATAAATTCACCCTCTGTGATAAGTCTGTTAACTCCTCTAGCTGTTCTTTATTTTGTTTAAGTTGTTCAGTTCAAGTTCAAATTCAAAATTGAAAATACTCGCTAAGTTCACTTTTAGACTGTGATAATTGTCTTAACTGCGCCTCAACAATTGCCGTTAATAACCAATTCTGTCATTATCACAATCTTTTAGGTATGTACAACAATTTATCATATACCCTAACAAAATTACCATACAACAAACTACGCGTGGTCCGTCATGAAACGACGAGCCAAAGCCAACTGAAGCTAACCTAACAGTTCCCTTTTCTAAAGTAAACATATGTAAATGTACCAGACAACATCTTTGTTCCTATGGCCTACCCTAATTCATTAGCTTCGCATGTACCTCTACACCTTTGGGGTGCCCCACAATGTCAACCTTGCCTAAATACCTTAACGCGAACGCACTCATAATCTATGATTACTTCTAGTATTAATAGGTGCATGAAGTAGAGAAGTGAATCAGTGTCGTGGTTACAGCCATCAGTCTTGAGGGTTTATTTCGCCAAACATGCTTGGCTCTGGTGGTTTCTCGTCAAACCACACCGGATTAATTTCTTTGCCCTTTTCGAAGTGCTCTTTCTTGTGATCTTCATCCAGAGACTGAAACAGGCACCCTTGGAGGAGAATACGTGGCGAACGAATGATTTCTCTCACCTTCTTCTCCAGCTCGGCTGCGGTTTCTGCGTCCATGCTCTCAAGAGTGTTAAGCCTGGGCTCGAAATAAACCGGTAGTGATCGCGACTTGAGCGCTTCCGCTAGAGACTGCAACAATCCCAGGATGTTGTTTTCTCGCTCCGACTTCTTCCAATCGCTACCGGTCTTATCCAAAGTGTAGAAGAGAACGGTTTTCACATGGTAGCTGATGAGACCCTTTGGCTTGCTTAAGAATTTTCGTCGAATGGCTTTGATGATGATCAAGCATATCTTGGGTTCTGGAGGAATGGCGTTGACGCACTCTCTCTCCAACCCTGAATAAGAGATCCTCCAGACTGTCAGGTTTGTTTCTTTAGATTCCCATGACTTGGCTACTACAGAACACCTGTATTACGGAGAGATATGAGTTAGTCTCCTTCACATGGATCAACTACATTTATAATTAGGCTCCGGAAGAAAACAAAATGTTACTCAATTTGAGCGCGGGAAGCCTTCACGAAAACATTAAGAAATGGTCTAGTAAGTTTCGAGGTATTTACATGCATGCGTCGGGTGATAACGATTTTTGAAAGTCCAAATTCCCTGAACAGGATCATGGCTTCACAACCAGGAATGTATTATTCCCAGGAGGTACTCCTGTTCTTAATTAAACTACATAATAACTGTCCCACGACCGCATTTTGGATGTGATGCATTGATCGATAACCAAGATGGTGCCCCGCCATGAGTTTGTAAAATTATCTGATATCCAGTAAGTGCGAGTAAAATAATTGTTTTGTGTGAAACAAGCAAGAAATATTGATCGATCTTCCTGATTTCAGTTTTCAAGCGGAGCTCAGGAGACAACTTAATGCATGGGCCAACTTAAGAACGATATAATGGCTTGTATTGGCCTGTGATCATATTGTCCTCTTGTTTGCCTTGCA